AAAGATTGTAAAGAATCTTGCCTAAAATATACTATCCACTAGATTAACTATAATAAACTAACCAAAAAACTCATTAACTATTTAAAAGGTATACAAAAACTAATCTGCAATTTCCATTATAGATACCCCAATAAACCTAAATCTATCTAAACTAAATCGTTTACCTATAAAACTATAAATTATAACTTACTACTTCGTTAAAGTTTAATCTAAAGAAGGGGGATAATATTACAATATAGATATATATAATCGATAAGCAATAAACTAAACCCTATTAAACTAACTTACAAATGAAAATTCTATATATCTTTACATTGAAAAATCCTATATTGTAACTCTTTAAACTATATCTTAATCTACACCCTATACCTACTATTCTCAGCATTATTAAATATAGATTTCTGATCCCGTTTGCCTGCCCCGTGATAATAGCCATATTTATGATTACTAAAAATAATATTAAAATAAATCCAAATAAAGCCGATTTAAACAAAATAAAATAAATTCAAAAAGCAATAAGAAAACTACTCTATTTAGTTTTAGGAATTAAATGAAATATTGCTTATTTTATATTAAAATTAATAAGATATATATTTAATTTTAATAAAAATCATTTAGTAACTATAAAAAGAATATTTAGGTATTTAAAGGGAATTAAAACTTTAAAAACAATATATATAAAGAATTATAAAAACTATATAAAAGAATATTACAATACAGATTATACAAAAAATAAAAGCTCTACTAAATCCACTAATAAATATATATTTTTATTCACTAATAAACCAATAAGTTAGAAGATTAAACTACAATCTATTGTAGTATAAAATATAACAGAATCCGAGTTAATTTCCATAAATTTAACCACTAGAGAAACTATATATTTAAAGCATATTTTATAGAAATTAAATCAATATAAATAAGAGAAATTCTTATTATATATAAATAATATATCAGTTAAAACTATATCTGAAAATCCTATATATCACGATAGAAGTAAATATATTGATATTAAATATTATTATATAAAAGATCTTATAAATAAAAAATATTTAAATCTAATTTGGATTTCGACTGAAAACCAATTAACCAATAGTTTAATTAAATTATTAGAAAGAATCAAATTATCAAGATTTATTGATATAATTCAAAATTATAATAATTATTAAAAATATTATAATTTATATAAAAATATTAATACTCTTTTTCTATAAATAGGTTTTTAATGAAATTAATATATATATAAGATATTAATACTCTTTTCCTATAAAAAGATTTTTAATAAAATTAATATTTATATATATATATATTATATAAAAACAATATATATTAAAAGAGACTATTGTTTTTATATAAAAATAATAATATATCTTTATATATATATATATATATATATATATATATAGTTCTATATTCATATATTATACTAAGAGTAATTCATAGGATTATATGACTAATCATATAATTGTCGCTTATAAGCTTCCGAAAGCGACCATATAAAAACAATCGTATTTAGCTTTCGAAAACAACCATTATTAATTTCCAAAAACAATTATATTAAATTCCGAAAACAATTATTAATAAAGAATAAGAAAAGAAGCTTTATTTTGAAAAAAATAACCAAATTAGAAAAAGATCTATGAGAAATAAACAAAAGTGGAAAGCTAGGTTAGAATGAAAAAGATATATAATATAGGCTTTTTCCCTTTTAATATAGGATAAGAAATTCAATATTATAATATAGATTCCTAAATATTATGTATTTTTATTGCTTTTTAGTTATTAAACTGAGCCAGCTTCCCATAATAAACTAATATTAGTCTAATTCTTCTTATATTCTATATATATACTCTATACCCATATACCTGCTCATGACCTACGATAGAATTAATAAAATAAAATAAAAAGAGAAAATCCTATTAATTAGAATTAAAGGAATCGATTGATATAATTCTTTTTGAATTATTTCAAAAATTGAAATTTACATCCAATATAAAAATATTCTAATAAATTTTAAAAAAGATTAAATTTCAATATTTAATCTTTTATTCTTCAAATACTATTAAATTGAATACAAATTTCAATTTTTGAAATAATTCAAAAAGAATTATATCAATCGATTCCTTTAATTCTAATTAATAGGATTTTCTCTTTTTATTTTTTTTATCAATCCCTTTAAGGTTATGTATTGAATTGAATGTTTCAGTATAAAAGTATACTACTAAATTCTAAATACGATTTAAGCTCAGGCAATGTTACAGGGTATATATATAGTAGTAAGCTATAAGGACTTCGATCCCTGATACTGTGCCTTTTGGACAGATTGCGTGCGTGGCGTAGTGGTAAAGCTTACAACTCCTATTGTGTCCGCTTACGTAACAGGCAAAAATCTATTTTTGGGGTTTATGCCAAATGATTTAAATCGGCCTCAGTAGAGGGGATGCTGCTAATACTATTCAGGCTTAGCTTAAAAATGTCCTCGGCATCCCACATATTGCCAGACCATCCACAAAATTCACTTCTGTCAGTCAGAACATGCAAATAACGTTTGGAATCATGGTGACAAACCCCCTCGGCTCAAGATTAGAAATAATCTGTATCTCTCGTGTGAGGTACTCAGGTATTGCTGCAGCTGCATTCATTAGCTATCAATAACCTTAGGTAGGTGAAATATGCCTACACTTCAAGAAGCCCAAGTTCATCATCTCTATACTGTGCAAACGAACGATTCTCCTTAACCACTGTCTGATTTGAATCCATAAAACTACGGTGCACAAATTTTGCCAGCTTTTCTATTCTTTAATGGACCACAACAGTTCCCCAATTATTGAGCGCCCTACTGGCGAGGATACTATCATGATGTCCTCCCGTCCACAACCTGCTTCAGGAGAGGACAACAGAAACAAGGAAAGCTATAATGTTTCTCCTTCGACTGATACATTTCTCGAAAATGGTAGTAGTACACCACCAAAGATCGAAATGCCTAGTCTGCTAAGACAGAACGTCTTCATGGTTTTTATCACCTTAACCCAACTAGTTCAAATGATCCCTCTGGGGGCCGGTATAAATTCTAGTTTTGCGATCGGAGCAGCATTGGGAGCAACAGAAGCGCAGTCGGTTTGGATAGTTGCCTCGTACCCTTTGACTCAAGGAACTTTCGTTTTGATTGGTAAGGCCACCCATCAGATTGCATTGTCATGCAAATAATTGGCGTGAGGATAGCTGACATGTCGTTGTTTCAAAGGAGGTCGTCTAGGCGCAGTTTATGGCCACAAGAATGTCTTCACCGCTGGTTGCATTTGGTGGACTCTTTGGGCATTGTGTGGTGGATTCTCTGATAATTTGATATCGATGTGTATCATGAGAGGATTATGTGGAATAGGCGGTGGCCTGATGATACCAAATATTGTGGCTTTGCTAGGTATCACTTTTCCACCTGGAAAGAAGCGAAATTTGAGTTTCGCTTTGTTTGGCGCCATGGCACCAGTTGGCGCTGCTGGTGGATCTCTCATCGGTGCGATTATCATTCAACTTTCTGATTGGAAATGGCTTTTCTTTATGCTGTAAGCTAACTTGATATCCTTCATGAGTCTTATTTACTGATAACAATTAGTGGTCTACTTGGATTCGTTGTTTACGGAGTTGCTATTATGGCAGTTGATGCGGATATTCCCATTGATCCAAAAGGCACCGTGGACTGGGTTGGCTCTTACCTGGGAGTAGCTGCTCTTATTCTTTTTAACTTTGTCTGGAAGTATGTCGTGGCAGTTCATCATATTATACAGAAAAATCTAACATCTTCACAGTCAAGCACCCCTTGTTGGATGGAACAGTCCTTACGAAATCGCACTTCTTGTTGTGTCTGTCTTTCATTTCGCTGGATTCGTATACTGGGAAATGAAAGTTGCCAAAGAGCCCATTCTACCATTCAACATCTGGAAGGCCCCCTCATTCGGACTCTTGATGTTAACCGTTTTCTTTTCTTTCATGAGCCTGGGTATCTTTTTTTGGTACATGAATGCATATATGCAAAACATCCGCGGAGATAGTCTCATTCTTACTGGTGTGCAGTACTTGCCACTCACCATAGTTGGATGTGCAACCGCTTTTCTTGCAGCATGGCTGGTTCCTCGAGTACCGGCGCAGGTCATCATTGGCTTGGGATGTTTGGCAATGGTCATTATCAACGTCCTTCTATCGACTATTCCTGCAAATCTCACTTACTGGGCAATGGCATTTCCCGCAATGTTCATATCCGCTTTTACTATTGATCTGATCACCACCAGCGCCCAGATCATCGCATGTAACACTGTTTCAATGAAGCATCAAGGTGTCGCAGGTTCATTAATAGGCACACTCCTTGGTTATGGATTGAGTACTGGTCTGGGTATCGCTGGAACTATAGAGGTAAACACTAACGACAATGGGAATAATCTTCTCAAGGGTTATCATAGTGCCGCATACTTGGGAGTCGGTTTGGCGAGTGCTGCCCTCATTATTAGCGTCATATTCATACGTATACCCAAAGATACCCGGGAAGGCTGGGCGGAGGATGATACGCATGCTAGAGAGAGAGGTCAACTGTAGGGGGAAAACTGATAGCTAGTGACTTTTCCGAGGATAAATACAAATTGATTTTTAGTGCTTTAATATCTCGTTGTTCTGATAAGCATATTGTTTGATCCATGGAGCAACAGCACAGTTGGCCACAGGCTCGACGGCTACGGGGGTCATCAATTAAGACAATTTTTAAGGTCGAATTTGATGTCTATACCGTTCGCATACGTTAATCTTGTAATAAGAACGAATTTTTTTGTGTTAACATTCGTTTTTGTTTTCCTTCTGGAAAGATGGTCGTCCGTACAAGTTAATTTTTATTTCAGTCCATAGCATGCGGTTATTATTCAACATCTGTGTGAATATGTAAGCTGATAATCGCATACACACTTATTTTCACAATAAATACCTATCGTCAGGATCAACGCAGACAATGGTATCTCAATAATTGCTTTTGGATTCAATCTAAAGCCTGTAGCTCTGAAATGCTCTCGTACACTGAAAGCTATGTTTCTATCCTTAGCAGTACGTCTGCTATCTGCCCATTCAATTGATTTCCATTCCTAGTCATACAAAAACTGGCTTTGAAGCTAAAATTTCTCTTAAACAGATCCCTAGAAGCTCTGAACGGAATACGGCTGTAGATTTATGCCCTTAATTTTGCCCTGCGCTGCCAAAACACGGCTTACATTCTTCAATGCATTCTCATGAAAAACGGCGAAATCTGTACCACGTCGTTAAAACCTTTTACTCACATTAAAAATGGAAATTGGGACTGGCATACTCCTCGCGTGTCCTGTCTCACAAGCATATATACTCCATCGTATAGCCGTTTCGTATTTGAAAATATAGGTACTCTCCAAAGTAACCCAATATCCACCGAAAGAGCCATTGCCAGAATTGTACGCCACGGGAATGGTTGAGGCAAGTTGCTCGAATTTTTCAATAAATCCTCCACGAGAGTCAATCTTGAGGTCTGTCAACTATAGAGGGCAGTGTTAGGGTTTCTCCAATTCAAGGCCAGGTGATCCTAGAACTTGGTGGTCAAGTTGCAAGTATTTACCTTCTCTGAAATACTATATGTGCCTACTTTTGTTGGCAGATAGGCAGTGCGAATGGAAACGCCAGGCTTGTTTTCCGGACCACGGGTTTCATAAGGTATGACTCCGAACCAAGCGGAGTCATAATCTTGTTGGAGCACAAATCAGTATCAAATTTATCAACACAGGAGTCCTCACTCACAATCCATGATTAGATCCTTAACATCGTTTGCACTGGCTCCAACTACAGACCACGTAGAAGATTCCCAGTAATCTGTACCGGAAGGACATGTACATGGAAGGACCGAGTTGCTTGAGCAGCGTGGAGAATATTCTCTTCTGTGCGCCAAGGCTGTCACAGCCAATGTAGCATAAATTGTAAGAGTAGTAGTGAACTTCATTTTGATTGGAGATAGGGCTAGGAGGGGAATGTCAAATTCGATGAGATCGTACTAATAAGATGGATAGGTGAGGTGATATAAGTGAGTGAAGAATCTATAGTCACCAGAAGTCTGGCTTCACACTCGTCGTAATCTGGAGAATGCTGCCTACAATCCACATGTCTTGGAAGGCTATAGACAATGAGATTATGAGAAGCGTCATCGCAGCTCACCGAGTCTGACAGAAACTCTTGGCTCAGGGGTTTCCAAATCTCGGCGCAATGTGGGGGGCGTGAGACATGATGATGTTGTTACCGATGGCTTACAGCGAGCTCACAGACTTCCCCGCCACAGCCCCATCGCTTCGTGTCTTACCATTTTATTGCACAACCCGATGACGAGCATGAATATGTCAACAGCATATCCCTACTTGCTGACCGCCTATGCGTTAATTTTTTACCGCCAAAAACGTTTTTGTGCCTCGTGGATAAGCAGTCATGTTTGTCTTTGGATTTTGATGAAGGATTTTGGCTTCACCTTTTCTTATTTGCCAAGGCTTTTGACACGAGGAATCTTTCGATATAATACTAGGATGGCACTGTCTTAAACTTTGGGTGAGACTTTCCAATCGCTAGCTTTTGACCTCAGAACATGTCTTCAGAACAATCCTTCGATCTATTCCTGGGTTAGAGTTGTCTTTGAGATCCGAGCTGAATGTTCATATCAACTGCAACGGCTGTTGGAATTAAAGTTAGGCCGAAGAGCTGACATACGATGAATACTCTATTAGTCGGCGGAATACGCGGAGGAAATATTCCTAAGATGAAACACGATTATTCCTCGGGGCTCTTTGAAGGAAATGATGAGGCGGACTTTCCCTCAGGGCGTTCGCGGCTGAGAATTTTAAGGATGAGTTGGCAAGATTGAGACTTTCTGTGGGATTGGAAATGTTCACTCTGGTACTGCTGATTGAAAAAGAAGACTTCTCATCTACAAATATCAATGTTCTCCCAGACAAGTCTCTATGCTCCAATTTGCGATACATGAAATTTTCTCGTCAAAATGAGATTCATTACCTTCTCTTACTGCTTTCTTCTAGCAAACATTCCACTGATCTTTGCCGGCTACGGTCATGGCCATGATAATACCCAAGCAGAGGCTTCCAAACAAATCGACAAATGGCAAGATCAATATGATCAATACATCAAAACTTCAACCAAGCACCAGAGAGTAGGATGCACATCTCAAAATATGGTCTATCGTCAAGAATGGTAAAATTCCACGATACTGAAGTTGAATGACTATTGCTAATTAATTTTCAGGGGTTCGCTTTCAGAACGTTCTCGCAAAGATTATATAAAGGCTGTTCAATGCTTACAATCAAAGCCTCCCAGAAGCACGAAAGAAGATGTGCCTGGTGCAAGAAGTCGATATGATGATTTCAGCGCTACTCATATCAAAGTGACACCTTATATCCACTTCAGCGTAAACTCTTTTATCCAGATGACAGAAATCACAGTCTCTAACGATAGACAGGGTCTCTTTCTTCACTTCCATCGCTACCTAGTATATCTCTATGAAAAAGCCCTTCGTGAAGAATGCGGCTACAAGGGATACCAGCCCTACTGGGATTGGACACTCTCCTGGGAAGATCCGCGGAAATCCAGCGTTTTCAACGGCTCTCCAACATCTATGGGAAGTAATGGTGCTTTCATACCTAATCGTACCAGTACCACTATCTCCGCATTCGGAATTACTCTAGACATCCCTCCTGCCACTGGTGGCGGTTGTATATCGGGTCCTTTCTCAAAAAACTATACTGTTAATCTCGGTCCCATCGCTTACGCTCCCTATGGTCCCGATCACGGTCTAGGATACAATCCCCGCTGTCTATCGCGCGATATCTCATTGGCTTGGTCTAACAACACGAAACCTTCCGACGTTGTGAAACTCATTAAAAATAGTCCAGATCTAGGAGCATTCGATACGAATCTCGAAGCATTAGATGGAGTTCACGCGGGTGGACATTTCTCAATGGGTGGTTTGGGTCTAGATGCGTATGCCAGTGCGGGAGACCCAGCTTTTTGGTTACATCATGCTATGGTGGATAAAGTCTGGAGTTTGTGGCAGAGTTTGAATGCAGGTAACAGAATGAACATGGTTTATGGGACAGGCACAGCGTTTAATGGTGAGTTATCTTTCGATGGAGGGGGAAATCGAAGTTTTGCTAATTTTTGTCTCTAGCACCTCCGAGTGCAAATATTACGCTTGATACACTGGTTGATTTTGGTATTCTGGCACCGAAACAGAAGATTAGTAGTCTGATTTCAACGATTGATGGAGCTTTCTGTTATGCTTATGTTTAGTTATTTTGTTTGATGTCGATTGGACTTTGGGTCAGCGTTCATTTTGTGGCTGTGGATTTTCACGATTTTGCAATGCCTTTTGGATTCCTCTCATGGTTTCAGAGTGTCTTATATAGAATGGTTTGATTACCTCATTGAAGTTCTGTACATCTAGACAGAATTGAATAAGTACGTGCTATATCTATTTTATCAACTACAACCAGAATAAACGATTTTGAAAAAATTCATGAGTGGTCAGCCTGCTCTGGACGATGGATGCATGAAAAGCTTGCAGATTTATAGAGAACGATGTATCGTTCTCAATTGATTGATCTTTTACTTCAAGAGGTTTACTTAATCAGCGTTCAATTTTGAGACTATGTTAACCTTACTTCTATTGTTTGCATATGCAAAACATACAGCAGCAGTAAGGTTGCAGCTCATCTATGCCAAACTCTTAATCAATTCCTCCACTTCATGCTCGCTCAATTGTTTGATTCCCAAAAGATCATTGTCCAATTTGTGATAGGCCTCGAAGTGTGATCCATATCCCTCACCCCAGATTGAAGCAATGATGAATGGCACGGCGAATTTATGTGGGTCCGGCTGTGGTTTCTTCAATTCTTCCCATCCGCCTGCTACAATATCATCAACCGATGCAACAGTCTCAGTCCAACCATCTGATCCTAAAACCTTCTTTCCAATCTCCGCGAGGTTCTTAAGGGTAGTTGCGTAACTTTGAATATAGACCGCGCGGTTCTTCGTCTCTTCTGGGTGCTTGAGTATACCAACTACAGCTCGTCCGATGTCTGGGAGAGTAGTGGTACTGAAAGTTCGATTACCCCCATCATAAAGTGTGATGCTTTTTCCCTTGGCGCTCATAACGAATCCAACTGACAAGCCCCAATCAAGAAATGCACCATTTACCACAAGAGTGTATGAAAATTCGCTAGAAACATGCTTCTTGAGAGCATTTTGGACAGCAATTTTAGGTTGGAAAACTGGCAAGGCTCCAGTATTTTCTCTAGATGTATCGGATCCGAACTCAGAGGGAAGGAAGCGCTTGACATGAGCTTTAACTGCTGCTTCAACGAGAAGAAGCTGCTTGTCCAAACTGGCTGAGGCGAGAGTGGATACAACGGCATCTTGTCCTGTAAGAGCACTGGTGAGCGATTCGAGAGAGTCGTAGTCGACTTCCTTGACTGTAACAGGAGATGGAAATTTGTGAGTGCTCGATTGTCGGGTAAGAACTGTGACTTGAAAGCCGGCTTTAATGAGTTGATCAAGGATTGCTGGGCCAAGATTTCCAGAAGCCTATATAGATGTTAGGTACAGACCCTCAGAGAGAATGGATAAGTTCTTACTCCTGCCAACGCAACTTTCGTGATTCCAGACATCTTGTAGATATGTATAAGTCTTATGGTGGTGATTTATGTTGCTGCTACTGTAATACAAACTAAGATGAAGTGCTAAATGATGGTTTAGTCTTGGAAGTGATGGATTTGTACAGGTAATATATAGGTATCGTAGAAACTGTGTATCTCGGTGTATAATGAGGGATGAGCTTCCCAATGACAAACCGCCCTCACGGCAACAGTACATTCGGTCTACCACACCGCCATTGTTTGTAAGCACAATCCTATGGCGCAACTTGTACATGGGCATTGCGCAATTTTGCGGGTCATCCCACATGCCACCGGCCACTATTCACCCGGGGTCAGCCACAAATGGGGGATCCATGGGTGCCCAGGTGCAGTGACCTCGGGAGACCTCGAACGTTAGGTGTGGCTGGTGGCAGCTTACATAATCACACATTATGAAATCAAACCAAAGGATATCTCCCAATGAAACTTATCGAACGGTATCTTCGGAGTCCGTACATTCCCGGCGTAAAACGATTTGAATACATCTTTTCCACTCTTCCAAAAAAAAGTCCGGACCTTTCCGGCTCCACACGCGTCTTCCTCACCTCATGCAAACAATCACACTCTGCTCAACTCAAGTTAGCACTTTCTTTGATACTCTGGTATATCAAATCTCAAACAGTCATAACTTCATATCGATGCAGTTCTCTCCAGCCAGATCTTTGGCGATGCAGAGTTTGATACTTGCTACTGTGAATATCACAGTTCTCTCGCTTTCATATTCATTTACAGAGCTTGGCTAGTAAGCAGTGCACATGTCGGGTCATTCACCAATCGGTGGATGTCTCACTCCTCTTTGAACTTCACACTTTATATTCTTTCCCATTTACTTCTCTACATCTATTTCAATCCACCGGCAACAACTTGCGTACAAAAAGATGACACAGACTTCTCCCACTGCATTTGTCGCCCCACAAGCAGGAGATGCATTATCTCCAACTCGCACACAACCAATAGCCAAACGCATCAAATGCAATGTGTCTGAATGCGGCAAGCTCTTCAGTCGCAAAGAACACCTTACTCGTCACATGAAGTCACATGATCCCAACCTTCAACATGAATGTCCTATATGTGGTCGGCGATATGCGCGAAGGTAATTCAGCCCTTCAATTATTCGCAAAAAAATAAACTGAACATCGCTTACAATTCACCTAGTGACGTGTTGAAGAGGCATCTAGATCATCATGCTCAGAATTCAAGCACTAAACGTACAATGGTCGCATGCACATCCTGCCATGAGCGAAAGCTCAAGTGTGATGACACATCACCTTGTCGATCATGCATTCGCACTTCAACAGAATGTAGCCGATTGATTGATGGTGGGACCAATCGTAGGAAAATCGACAGTGTGGGCGTGAATGAGACTGTTGTCGGGAACAGCGTGGTCAATGCTCATAATTCGAATCAGGACTCTGATCTTTCACATGCCTGGTTTCAATCTGAAAACCCAACATTATCTTTACCTCCATACTCCGATGCGACTCTTGAGCTATTGTTTCAAAGTGAGGTTATTCCTAGCGGGGACTTTTCCTGGAGTCAACAGCAGTCTGTGGGAGGCAATCTTACAGATTTGTTCCATATACCTCTGTCTGACGATGCTCTCAATGATCCGCACAAGTCTCGGGTGAACGCAACGTATTATGATGCCGAATCTAGTGACAGAACCAGGTCAACACTTGCATCACAATCACCGTTATCATCATTATCCTCTGAGCCAGATCATTTATCGGAATTGCGTAGAACACTGAGTCAAGATCAAGGTCATCTGAACCAGCTTCTCGAAGTTTATTTCACCAAAATCCATCCATCCTGGCCCATTTTGCACGCTCCGACATTCAATCCTCAAAGTATTTCGCCGATCTTGCTAGGCTCTATGCTAATGCTTGCGAATTGGTTGGATGGAAGTCAGAAACATGAACAACTCGCGTCGGTTGTATTTGAAGCAATATTGGCTGTCCGATTGGTAATTTATACCCTCTGAGGATCTATTTTAGTTGTCTCTAATCTAAACATCTAGGAAGTCCATCTCTCACTCGACAAGGAGATTGACCAATCGTCGCTCCAAAATCTCCAAGGTCTTCTTTTGTGTGTTGTGTATACAATTTCTCTTTTGGTGAGTTACCGTTTCAAGAGTGAGAACTCACATCATTTTCCGTTCACTACTGATAACATCAAAGACTACCAAAGGAATGTCGTCGAGAGCTGTTTATCTTAATGGTGCACTGATCTCAACATGTCGTCATGCTGGTATTTTCAATGGACAGAACACATATTATGAGCTGGGTGATTGTCCATTTGATCTTTGGCTGGTTCAAGAACAACTTCACAGGTACCCATAACCTCATGCATTTTGCCTCAGTCTGTCTACGCCGTATGCTGACAACAACTAGACTTGCTTTTTCTAGTCTGAGAGTGGATGCGTATCTAAGTGTCCTTATGGATTATCCACCGTCTGTTCGTTATCAGGAGATCAGCATTCCCCTTCCAAAGTCTACAAAGCTATGGACTGCGGCAACCGATGAAGAAAGGCGAAAACTTCAATGGCATGAACCTGCAGGTCGCGAGAAAGCCTTGTTCTGCTTTCTCATGCGCGATCTTATTGATGCTAGCGAAGACCAGGCAGTCTCGTATCATCTCACTGATACTGACTACCATCTCGGACTTTGTTCCCTACAGATTGGTACTTGGGAAACGGCTCGCGAAGCTTTCTGTTGTTGTGATTCAGATGAGCTGATAACGGATCCAAAAATAAGTGATCCAGTCCATCGATGGGGCTCCCAACTCAATCGTTGGCGTACAAGAATGGAAGATTATGTTCAATCGCACTCAGAGATCAACTCTACAGAGTCTGATCATGATCGTATATTTCCACAACTGAACCTCATACTATGGCATATATCGGCCCTCACAGTTCATGCGCCCCTAAAGCTCTTACAACGACAAGGGTGTTGCTTCAAATGTCGTCCTGGAGCTGGTTTGACTACACAAAGAACAAGAGCGCGTTTAAGTAGCTGGATGTTTTCTCCACACCCCCGTACCGCCCTTTGGAATGCTGGTCAGATATGCCGGCTAGCAGAAGATAATATTTCGAATCGCTCATCTAATACTGACCCTTTGCTCAATCCACTTGCAACACCTGGAATTCTCAAAAGTGCAATCGCTGTTTGCTCTTATGCATATCATATTCGTGCCTGTTTCGTATGCACCAATGTATTCGGGGATTCGGTCGATCTATTCAATGCATCTCACAAAGATGACATGTCAAAGAACTGGACGGAGCACGGAATTGGAATGGCTACCTGGGGTACGGAAGCAATTCCAGTTTGCCATTGTAGATTTAAGGATTTGGAAATGTGGTTTCGGGAGAGATTTGCGAGAGATCCAGGTGCCGATACACAATTCACGTCGTTTCTTTCCGGCTTGGGCGAATGAAAGTTTGAGTTCTTTCTACACTAAAAGCAAGTTCCCATTTTTTTACGTCGGGATGAATGGGAAGAAAATACTATAGATGTACGAAATTTTAATTTTATCTACCCTGGGGCCATATTTTCAAGGGAAATATTGGAACGCGTTGGTTCTCCACCCCACCTCGAGTGGCATGCTCAAGCTGGGGCTAAGAAAAGTCTAGAACGGATACCTCGAAGCGAGAACGCTGCATTTGGGCGGGCACTGCCTCCACAGGGAAGACGCAGATCTAATACTACATATTATGGAAGAAATGGCGTCGGTCTTGTACAAATCCATAGTTGTATTTCTGATTTCAAGAGAATGATTTTTATGCGATCGCAAAAATGGCAATTTACAATTCGAATGGTATTCTTATAGCGATAATTGCGACCTGTCTGTAGGTGGTCATGGATGCTGACCACAGCTATACGTGAAACTAAAAATTCATATGAAAATATAAAACGATACTACCTACTCATAAGATAGATGCTGATGGATGTTGTATATGAGATCATGGAAAATATTCTTGGTATGTTGTAATGATTTTGAAGTCCTTTAACATTAAACGAGCCTTTAACGTTAGACGAGAGATGAGAAGACTTAGGCAGGTTTTCCCTTTGTATCTATATTCTCAGAGATGAGAACTCTAAGAAATATCTATAGAGCATAATACAATTTACTCTCGTCTCTTTAGACTACGATTGAAACGTTTAGAGTTTCTCTACGGATTGAATATCAAATATATATACTCGCTCGTTTACTAGTTGACATCGCTAATATGTCAAACCCTATAGGGACATTCTATGATATTGAAGTTAGACTATACTTCATAGCTTTCTACTACTCAAAAAGAATATCTTAGGAGAGTTGATATAATTTGGTTAGTTCAGCGTCTAGCGAAGAAGAGTAGATTATGAAGTAAAATATTAAAACCCATGTCCGATGATCGTCTGATCAATCCTGATTCTAGCTGACAACATTTAGATTTCATTTGTTTTCATACACATCTTTCGTAGTAGAAGTCAACGATATACATAGTAGTATAGTCTTCACTAGTAGGAAATGCTTGGAAAGTTCCCGAAGATGGCCGCCTCAGGATTACTTTCTCGAAACGCTCACTTCTTTCATTGAGTTCCTAAGTATTAAAATCTCTGTCAACAAACCTTGTTTTTCGTTTGAGGGTATTCAATATTCTGTGGACATATTAATGATGATATCATGCAGCGACACGGCCTTAAAAATGTTGGAGGAAATCCACAAAGAGGATAGAGATGTTCCAAATGGTTCAAAGGAGGAAGAACGAGATTCGTTGATATTTTTGATGACAAAACTACAAAGTTTTATACAATCGACCCCGGTGCTTCAAACATGACGGGAAGTGGTAATATCGCAAGATCTCCGATTGATGATAACAGTCAAAATCAAGTCACCAGCTTGTCTGGTAGTAGTGCCCCATTATATGAGGTGTGGTCTGGTCCTTGGCGAAGAACTATGTACATGGTTATCTCAATCTTATCTTTCTCAATGTCGGAAAGAAAAGCTCTATGTTATTGACATCTTCTATAAGCTCAGTTTGGGCTCCGGAGACCAGGTCAAGATGTCTGGTGCGAGATTTGAATATTTCTTCCATTTCGTCAAAACAGGACATACCAAACCCTGGCTCGGGATTTGAAGATGGCTGTTCTTTAGATCTGAAATTCTACGAAATTGTAACAATACGCGCTGAGAAGATCGAAAGTGTTTCTCGGAATTTCTGGAACAATGGAATTCTACACACCGAAAGCAATAATATTTCAAGTAGTTGTACATCTGTATTGGCAATAAGAAAGTTACTGGAGAGCCAATATCACGTAAGTAAATAAACTCATCCGGGTATGCCTGGGGATAGGGGAAACTTCCTCTTCATTCGTGTCGTTTCTGGTTCGGTACTTACACAAATTCATAGTTACAAGCTACCAGTTTCTAGCATGTTCATCGATGTCTGACAGCAAATATTGGACGCCATTGGAAATGAATCCCGCCACATTTGCTCACACAAGTCATAGTATCCAAGATCTAAAAACTGCTTCTGGGGATATGCTATTCTGTGCATTTCTCCATGCGTATACCGCCATATCCGAGACCGCAAATCGCTGGAAGAAAATGCTGGAATGTTTCGGCCAATTTATTGGTGACAAGCTCGCATTCTTAGCTCCTGAATATCACGACAAGTTGCTTTCTGACGACGAAGGTCTTTCGCGGTCCAAAAAGTATGTTTAAGCTATCTCTACGTTGAAGGGGTTCCGTACGAGTATATCACGGAATATTTTGCGGATCAAACAACTGTTAGAGCAAGAAACGAGCGAAATTACGACCGAAGAAGAGTTGGAGGGACTTCGACGAGTACGTGCGATGTTATGTAACCTTAGCGAACTTCGAAAGATAGAAAATATAGCGTCGAAACTGGAGACCAAGCAGGAAGAAGGCACATATTTCAGAGATGGAGTAAGTTTCTCTTATGCAAATGAAATTTTTGATTAATTCTATACCTAGAGCCCCTCTAAATTCCGTTCCTATATCAGCTGATCAGCGCGAGTTCGCTTGCGGAAACACAAAATTTTACTCCTTTCAACCAGAACGTCAAGCTTTTAACAAGCATGAGCATTTTGTTCCCTGCTCTGTTATTTCGTATGGTAAGATATTCATTTTTAATATCAAATCTATTTCTTAGCTTGTAACTTATCAGTCTATATGGAGTATTGATACTTCCTTCGATTACCTGAATCTTCTTCTCGCAGTCAATATCCTCGCTGCTTCCATTTACTTTCTGGGTTATAATGTGGATCAACTTTTATTTATATTCCAAAATGCCTATAATAAATTTATCAAAAATACACTGCAGGCAATGAAGAAGGATGAAGATGCAAAATGGGCAACTAGAGAACATGAATTGATAAAATACTTGGAGCTTTCAGAAGGAGCTCAAAAGCCTCCACATTGAATTTATCTTCATACGCATTGAGAAGGCTCTGCTGGTTACCGTGGGCTAAGCTCTCTCGAAGAGGTACTTCAAGTGCTTGAACTGAGATTCTGTCTTCGTTGGATTTCTTTTGTTCAGGCCGGTGTCTTGAGGTTGAAGTGATGGTCAACTCAAGTTGTATGGCAATTCATAAGTCGGTTACCCTACTTTCGGGCCAACAGGGTTTTGGGCCACCCTTTTACACCAAAAATCACTTTTTAGGCCTATTAATATCTCTATTAATATATAATATAATTCAATGAAAATTTGTATATATATAATTTAGATCGATTTAAGCTTATTCTGAAATTTTTAGATTTTTAAGATTTTTCTATATTGAGAGCTAGAGCTTCAAAATATCGATTTTCAAATTTGTATAGGAATCACATACAAATTTAGAATTTTTATAAAACCTTTAATAACTTTTTAACAACAATTATTAAAAGAAAACTATATATATTTCTGAGATATTTGAGCTTGAATCTATATAGAAATTCAAAAAAAAATTCAAAAAAATTAACAGATATAAAGATATAATATACAGTGAGTTTAGAGTAGTATAAATAATCCCTGTCATTTTGAGGATACCCCTTTAAATATTTATTTATGAGAATTTTTTTATTTTTTCTGAATCTATTATATAAAATATATTATAAAGTGATAGTGAAATTTTACAATATATTTTTAGCAATTTTTATTCGAAAGTTATTAAAGATTTTATAAAAGTTTCAAATTTGTATGTGATTCCTATACAAATTTAAAAATCGATATTTTGAAGCTCTAGATCTCAATACAGAAAAATCCTAAAAATCTGAAAATTTAAGAATAAGCTTAAATCGATCTAAATTATATACATACAAATTTTCATGAAATTCTATCCATAAATGAGAGAGTTAAAATTTCCATTTTTGGTGTAAAAAGTGGCCCAAAAGGGGGGTGGCCAGAAAGTGGGGTATCCGACTTACCTATCAACTCATCTTTCTAGATGTTAATTAGTCAATTCAATGCATGGAATTTACCTCGTTTTACCCCATCAGGTTTGCATGTCAAATGACGTGTCTGACGAGACTTTGCTTAAGGAATTTTGGGGGTGGAATTGGAAGCAGTGATCAGGTACATCAAATTCAACTTCAAATCTGTTACTGTAACACCTCTTCAGTTCTACGTTACCTTTTCTTGCATAACGACGTTTTGACTTCTTCGAATTCCTTAGAGTGTATTCTTTCCCTTGTCTTATCTGAATTTCACTTGTCATCTAAATTCTATCTGATGATTTATTTAGCATCATCAGTATTCTCTCTCTAGTATCACTAATTAGTTTCCAGTTTTAAAAATCTCCGTACATCTCTTTTGTGCATAGCTATATGGGAAATAAGAGATGGAAATGATTTTTGTTTGTGTTGAGCGAATACAATCGCGATTGAAGTTTCCAAAAGAAAAGCTTGATGTTAGGAACTTTCTAAATTTTTGCCTTCTACTTATACGTGGGTTAGTTGCGGGTTACTCAAGCCAACACAATCGGTCTCCTATTCGACCTCGCCAAATTTTCAAAGCCGACTGTGGATACCAAAATCGTCCATTTAATATCCATTCCTGCTCGCGAAACTTTTTTTTTTAATTTTGTAGGCCGGATAATTCATCGAGAGACCTATATTGACCATTTGGTAATGAAAGTGATGGGTCGCATGGCTTTTCATATTCATTCATAGTGTCATTAGTTGCCACTTTTATTTTATTTTCACAAATAAAGAATTACTCTTATTCTAGAACTTCTCTACGGGAAATTTACAGAAAAGGTATGCGAAGTAGTACTGGTTGTTTTTTGCATCAACTTCACCTCGAATTAATTTGCTATTGACGAAGATTTATAACAGAAAATTTATAGACAGCAGCATTACACGTGTACTTCATTAGCATTCTTTTGGAAATCATTCGTTCATTTCTTTTCTATACGATCGTTTTGTTTCCACAAATCTTCAACTAAAAAATCATTCATTTGACATTTGCTTAATCTTTAATCATGGTTGTTCTACCCGATCCCGATAGGTAAGACTTTCGTCCATTTCCCATTGCATCCTCCCCCCTTATCCTCATAACTTCATCACTAATCTCTCAATCAGCGATAAATGGCCCTTCTTCGGACACGTTTACTTACGACAGGATTCCCTTCCTTCCTCACATCATTCGCGCCATGATAGGTCCCGCGATGAAACTCTGCGTCTCTGGAACCTTCATCTTCCTCTCGATCCACAAAAAGACCAGTTTAAATTTGTTCTCTTCCTGCAACGTCTCATGACAATGGTCGAAGAACATTATCGTAAGCGCCACAGTTCTCAAGATTGGAAAGTCTCAAAGCCAATCGAAGATTGGTATCACCAAAGTATCCGCGATCTTTCTGGGTTAGGAGTCGACGAGAATCTCATGAGCAGGGAGTGGAGAAAAGTAGTTCAGAAAGGAAATCAAGAAGCAGCGAGAAAAGAAAGGAAAGAGGCGGAAAAAGTACATTTGGAAAAGATGGAAAGAGAAAAGGACTATCGGTATCATCGATATCGTGGTGGGAGAAGAAGAAGATCATACTACGAACCTTCCGATTCCTCGTACGACGACGAATCATCAGAAGGTATAGTTTTCCATCACCACAAGCACAAACCCTCCAAATCGAAATCTCCCACCAAGAAAAAAGAAAAAGAAAAAGACCATCCAAAAGGAACACCTAAATGGGTAATTTGTCCGCGTCGCTCAAAGCACTGTTCGCGCGAACATGAAATGGTTAAATGTAATGGACGCTGCGGTCTTACGGCTTGTGTGGAAGATGCCCATCGTTGTCATAAAATATATATCGACTACGAATGTACGGATCCGGAATGTGAAAAGTGCAAGAAAATCAAGGAACAGCAGGAGGCGTGGGAAAAGAAGGTGGCGAATCCTACCCATGAGGAGAAGTGGGTGGATTGTCCTTGTGACAATCCGTGGTGTAGAAGTAAGGTTATGGAAATTAAGGAGATTCCGAAGCCGCCGAAGCCGAGATTGTATGGTACGAAGCCTTGAGGTGTAAAGAGAGTTTCTAAATTTCTGTTAATATGTGGATCCTGAGTCTCTATGAATGTTTCGGGGTGTAGCGAAAGAAACTTATACATCGGATTTTATGGAATTTTTGTATAGCGTATATTGATTATATATTCTATACCTAAGAATCTAATTTGTATACAGAATGATATTATTTTATTACGGATTTAATTGTATAAAGAGTTAAAAAAAATTTAACAAAAAAGAATAAGCTTTACTTTAAGTTATTTAATTTAGTGATATTAAAGCTATTCAAAAGATAATCCAATAGAAGATACTCTTTATTTATTCTCATTTACTCTTATCAATATTTATTTTAGAGACTATCAAGACTATACATAACCCTAATATTAAGCGCTCCGAAATACTGACGAGCTGGCTCGCCCCGAAATTATTTTGGGTAGATAGAGGGCCAATGTCTGGATTAGGTTGGATGAATCCACATTCATAGTACGAGTCGATATGAATGATTGAATGTCCATTGTTCTAATTCATATGAATGATTGGATAATCATTGTATCAATTGACTTGAGTGAAGAAGCGAAAAGTGTCAACTGTGTCTATACGTCGTTTAAACACAGACATGACGTTATGTTTTCCCACCACTCATTACCCATCTATGCACTAACCCCTCAAAATAAACCCACTACCCAACAAAACACCCTCCACTTCCACCCCCGACTTAAAATCCCTCACATCTAAACAACTCATCTGCCTTCCTCAGGCCCTCCTGAATATCCTCTCTCGTCAACCGAAATTCCGTTCCCGCTAACGCTCTATCCACTCTCGCAATACTTTCCGTCGCTTCTTGCTCATACAATCCTCCCAATCTCCACTTATCACAACAGCGTTGACAAAACATCTGAACGGGTGGACGTCGCATAACGATGGTTCCTGGCGCGGGCTTGCATGCGAAACTCATCGGGATGATTCTGTTGCGGTGGTATTGGGTGGGATGGGTGGGACAGCTGAGCCAGGGAGTAGGATTTAGGGCGGTGGGAAGGTGTTGGCAGAGGTAGATGACCGGGTTGCACATTCTTGGTGTTTGATTGGAGTTTGCTGATGATTGTTGGTCTGGTTGGTTGGGTTTTCTGGGTTTCTCGATGAATGTGAAAGCTGTTCTTGAAGTATTGTTCTTTTGTATTTCGGTGCAGGAGGCATTTTTATAGATCCTTCACTATCCGTACCAAATGTTGAGATCAAACATACGGCATCGTGCTTGAATAGTGATTGAATAGCTGTAAGGAGACGTAATCAGGTATGCCGTATTCACATTGTAGAGCCTATTCCTTGAATCTCTAGCCTTAGAGTTAGCTACTAAAGCATTTGTTGATGTGATGAGAATTAAAACACTGTGAAGAATTAAATCAAAGATTGAAAGAAAACAGCGCTTATGTTAACGGTCGTAGACTTGAATGAAAAATTGATATTGGCTTGCAAATATTGGCAGCAGAATTCACTAGAAAGAAGCCACTTAGGTGTAATTTCATAAACAGAGGAACTCTGATTTCCTCATAATTCCAAATGCTCTCATCTGATCTATTTGCAAATCACACAACCACCACAAACACTTCACAAAGACTCACAACGTCCAAACTCATATATTTCCTGCATCACAGCAACCAAGCCCCAATCAGCTTTCAACTATAATAAACAACATCAAAAAGTAGTATCCATCCCCAATAGCTTTTTCTGGTATGTCTCTCAAATTCCACGATGAATTACCCGATTGAATGTCCCAGAAATAGCTAGTGAATAGTAGAATTGATTTGGGTGGAAATTTCTGGCCTCTTTTGCCAGCCGGGGAGAATGTGAATTATGATACAGGGAGCTGCGACGGCGATTATGAGGATAAGCGAGGCGAGTAAGAGAAAAGTAGGTTCGAAATGTGTGGGGGATAGGCAGATGAGGGTATACTGAGTATAAATTTCCCTTTCTTTTGAGCTTGAATTCTCAAGGCCAGACGCTTGTCAATTTTGGCATGGTCTTCGAAGATATCTCGGAGATGTTGTTTCAATTTTTTGGTCTCGGACAGTGGTGTACAAGGAGCGCTTTCTGAAGGCATGAGAGTGTATTCTAATAGATCGGCAGCCGTGTCTACGTCGCAAGTAAATCGTTCTTCTACATTCATATAACCCCTGAGCACGACAGCCGAGTTACCGAGCTTGCCTATTTCATCGTCGCTAGTCAAGTTTTCGCCTTCAACCTCTACTTGGTGATAGATCAAACTAATCTATCTATAACTGTACCGCGATTAATTGCTTCATCCATGATCGATGAATGGACCAGGAAGACATTGCCGTATTGCATACTGACCAAGCTTGCTAGCAGATTGATGATACAGTCAACCCGAAGGCAGCGTATCCGTAACTATCCGTTTGTGAGCTCTTCAATTGGTAGTATCTGGCCTCGAGACGGATCAGATTCTTTTGAGGCGAGGCCAAACAGAAGATGGATTGTTGATAGATGGATTAGAAATTAGTCTTTATGTGAGTCAAAAGACAATACAGATCGAGATTATTCTTCAACCGTGGTCTGGAAGCGTTGATCAGGGTGAAGAAATTTCAATGGAGTATCAAAGCATACTATGTACTTATTTGCGAGAAGTGATCTGGAAATGGGAATACGTAGTGTTGAACTGTATGGGTGTATGAACAGATTAAGATACCCACTAGCATCCTATTGGGTATCAAGGAGGAAAGCCAGAAACAAAACCGGACAGACTCCCTCTGCTCGAAAGCAAAAGAGCAAAACAGGTAGACAAAGCGAAACAGGAAGTAGCGTATAGATTTATCATCGAAGCAAAAACTTCAAGGTGACCTCGGGATCATTAACAATATACATACATATACACTTCTGGCAATCACACAGTAGTCAATAGCAACACGCAAATTATATGATGCCCAGTCTGACAATTCATTAAACTTATGCTTTTCACAAATGTCGAAAAAGAGAGAGTAGAGATCTGGATGAGGTAGGTAAGCATGGAAGTATTTCGATAGCTTGAGGTTTAGGGCTTGACTTGGGGTTTGGTTGTCATTCATTGTAGCCCGGTTTCAGATAACAAGCAAGAAAGCAAGAAAGCAAGCATTAAAAAATCACGGCATTACAGAACCATCAATCAGCCTTACAGAGAAAGCATTGAAACATCACAACAAGCATAGCATACACGATATAGCATCTAGAATACCATTCATCACTCTCATGAACCCTCACTGATCCATGCATCCACCATCCACCCCACCGTCCACCATCCACTCACTCCCTAAAAATAGAAAGTGCAGAAATGGAAAAAAAAAAAACAGAAATCTCCGCTAAATTCCCTCTCCTCCGCCCCTCAACCAACCAATCACATGGAAAGAAAGATAAAACACATAATTTTCTTTTCTCTACTTTACCTTACCTTACGAGTACATAGATAGATACCAATCTGCCTCGTCTCGTCTTATCTCAAACAATGCCCTCTTGCTTGCTTCAGCTCAGCTAGAATATAATTGTTTGAGCCCTGGAGAAGTGAGGAGTGGATTATGAGAGTATGAGATTGATGGAATTTGATGAGATATGTTTTACTGTTGAAGATAAAATATAGTACTATTATCACGGAGGTAATAGCTATATCTAATGGTCACTTTGATCAGGGAATAGGTATGTAGAGTGATAATAAACTAGATTGACTTGAGGTATGATCCTAATGATTATATTTGCTTTATATACCCTGATCGGGCGAGGTATTTGCCTAATTAGGTATATAGGGCACACAAATGAAATGAATGAAATAGTGTTAATAATCATGGGAGTGAGTACTCCGAAGGAGTACCGGGATTAGTGCTTGTAAGGTTACACTATACGGTGAATTCCGTGACAACTATACTATATACTGTAGTGAGTTTAAAAAAAGTAAAATATAAAAATAATAGTATACCAATATAAACGTAGAAGAAATGCCTTCTTTATTTCCTGCTCTTGCCAACTCACCTATTTATCGCTAGACCCCGCCGGAATTTATTCAGTCAATTTGAATTATAAAGGGGTTCCCCCTCTAAAGTTTAAAGAAGGAATACTCGAGTATAGTATATACATATGTAGTAAAAGTTCCTCTTCCACCTCCCTTCCACCTCCCTTCCACCTTCCACTCCGACCCACATCTATATCCACATCCACGCCAAGGAAAATCTTCTCCCTGTAAGATTACAACTTATCAGAACTATAAAGTATCACTCCAGAGTATCGTAGAGTTGAAGTATTCATAGCTCGTATAAACACTATTACCTATATACAACCACTACAATAATAACATAGTATACCTAGTAAATACTCATAAACATATCGTAGACCTAAATAGAACCAATCCGAAATAGAATAAAATCAAAAACCCGAAATGAATATCGCAAATCGAAAGATATGATTATTTTTACGATAAGTATAGAAGTAACCTACCTTATAGTAGATAAGTATGTATTGAAAAAGAGAGAGGGAGTCTAGAAGTCTAGGATTCTAGGATTCGAGGGTTCGAGGGTTCTACAATTTCAGAATTGAATAATAGGAACGAGGAAAACTTACTTCGTTCGAAAGATAGATTCGCTCGATTGGGGTATCCTCGAGTTTGTTCTGTCTCGAGTCTGTATGTAGAGTGAATATTATCTATCTCGTTTGCTTAGTAGGTAACCTTAGTAGTCTCGAGTATTCATTCATGTTTTACTTTGTACGGAGTAGATAGATACAGTATAGTATCGGGATATCGATTTCGCGAGAGAGGGGGATGAATTAATGATAAGGGTATTATAATAGTACATACCAGTAGAGTAAGTTGTAACGGGAAAAAGAAAGAAAAGAAAGTTTTTACTTCTCGTCGTTCTACGTAAGGATTGGATTGGATTGGATTGTTACTATATATTCATGCAGGTGTCCCTATCACCATGAGAAAAAAAGAGAAGAAAGATTTTTTTCTCGGAATATACCGATATGTTATTATTCATGTTTATTCTTTACTATCTAGATATAGATATACCTAGGTAGTTACTCGTACTATGAAAGTTAAAGTTATTAGTAGATAAGAAGTAAGAGTTCATACTCGGACTTTATGTTTGAGGGGAATATACCATGTCACGTGTAATATTTCGGTCCCGAAGAGAGTTTGGATTTTGAATCTAGAATGATGAGGTTTGGATCTAGAATGATGGATGGATGGATGGATTATCGTTGAGGTTTTTGATTTCATTTGAATAGGTAGGTGAGATATAGTTACTAGGTATACTTACTAGGATGAGTACTCTGTACCTACGAGTACGATAGGGATCTAAAGTATGAATCTGAAGTATGAATCTACGAGTGTTTATTTATGATATAGTGAGTAGAGTATAAAGGGTTTAACCTTAACTTGAATAGGAAATATATCCTGGGGCGCAGTAAGGAAAGACAGACGGTTGTTGCCACGCGTTGGTTGGCGTAATGATGGGTGGGAGGGTGGATGGGTTTATGTGAGTGAGTGAGTGAGTGAGTGAGTGTTGTGTGATGTGATGTGCCTGTGCCTGTGCCTGGGATCTGAGGAGGTAGTTTGATGGGAGATGGAGATGGTGATGGAGATGTTGATAGAGATGAAGATGGGAATGGGAATAAAAATGGGAATGAGAATGTAGAGAGATGGCTTTGAATATTTATTTGGCTCTCCAGCTTTGAGTAGCCCGAGTTCTTGGATTGCAGGTGGGGATGAATGAAGGATATGGGGCTGTGTATGAAAGTTATGAGAATCTGAGAGTTGGTTATGATATAACATGATACGAGAATGAACGGATTTGACGGATTGGATGTGATATATTGTGTGTGATGTGTGATGTGTATGATGTGATGTGTGTGATATGGATAGTACTTGGTAAGTTTTTGTATAGTATGGAGGAGGGGTTACTGATTGGTATATATCGTATATATAGAGAGATTGTATATATAAGTATAGATATATATTGTAAATAAAAGGAATGAAATACAAAGATTTCATAGTACTCTATAATATACTTTGTATATCTTTAATCATATGTATAATATATTCAGAGTAAGTATAGTAATAAAATAAATATTAAAGTCTCGATATATATAGATAGATATATATATTCGAAGAATTAAATAATATAAAGTAGAGGTTTATATCTATCTAAGGAACTAGATTTATTTATATTTATATTCAATTATTAATCTTACTCACTATTCTCTTACTAGTATA